TTACTCCTTTCAATTACTGTGCATAATAAGTGTTCGATTAATTGCTCCAAATATCTGTGCAATGTACTAGCTTTAGATTTTGGAAAAACTCTGAGTGATGTGCATCCTAGCTTGCAAGGAACGAGCCTAGATCAGGCTACAAATATTTGTGATGCCATGTTAGAGGGTCTTGATCAGGCTATCCGGAAGTTGAAAACTGAGACAACATTTCGATTTCAAAGGTTTTTGTCTCTTATAGTCCTAAATTGGCTTGTATGTAAATTTCCATATTAAATCTACAATTGCTACAACTGAAAGATGTTGCTGGATTACTGGTTAACCTCTGGCATTTGATGGATGTGGCAAATGAAGAGAAAGCTAAGTTTTTAATGATTACTTTGATTCTTGGTTTGTCAGAATCCGCTGTTGTTGAACCAGGTTCTCTGTCCATGGAGATTATTGAACAGGTTTGGAAGTATTGGCATCCCTACCTACCATCTCCCTTCACCTATTATAACCTAGATTCTGTGATATTAATTTACTTCCTACAGGTTTCAGCAGAGGTCGAAGAGGCTCTCTAAATTAACAGCTAACAGGATGAAAGAACTTGTGATGAAGAAGAGGTTGGAGTTGGATGATATATGTTATAGAACCCATATTAAACTTGATCCAAGCATGGCTGATGATAAAACTAATGCGCTAATTGATTCTGGTTGGAAATCTTGTTCTTGAGTCATTATCTCTCTCTGCACATTGTTCACAAGGTAACAAGTATGAAATCTTCCTCTTCTGCAAGTGTGGCGGATCCTTGTGAACTCTTGAAAAAAAAATTCATCACTTTTTTGAGTTTGTTACCTTTTTTTGAATTGTCACTTTTTAAGCGTGTGTCACTTTTTTTATTGTCTGTCACTTTTTAACATGTATAACTTCTATTAATTTGTGCCACTTTTTTGAATTCGTCACTTTTTTTAATTTTGTCACTTTTTTTTAGTGTTTTATCACTTTTTTTTAGTTACCTTCTTGATTTCTATCATTTTTTTTAGTGACATCAATTTTTAATAAAAGTGACATTGTAT